CTACTCTACTGTATATGATATTTACTTACCTATTCTACTGTATATGATATTTACTTACCTACTCTACTGTATATGATATTTACTTACCTATTCTACTGTATATGATATTTACTTACCTACTCTACTGTATATGATATTTACTTACCTATTCTACTGTATATGATATTTACTTACCTACTCTACTGTATATTGGTATTTACTTACCTATTCTACTGTACATAATATTTACTTACCTACTCTACTGTATATAATATTTACTTACCTACACTACTGTATATGATATTTACTTACCTACTTTACTGTATATAATATTTACTCACCTATTCTACTGTATATGATATTTACTTACCTACTCTACTGTATATAATATTTACTTACCTACTCTACTGTATATAATATTTACTTACCTACTAGGTAAGTAAATATCATATACAGTAGAGTAGGTAATAGGTAAGTAAATATTATATACAGTAGAGTAGGTAAGTAAATATCATATACAGTAGAGTAGGTAAGGGAGTTAACGTGTAAACACTACATTAACTCTCAGGAAGCTAAAGCTGCATAATAGTATATACACTACATTAACTCTCAGGGGGATAGAGCGGCATAATAGTATATACACTACATTAACTGTCAGGGGGATGGAGCGGCATGGTAGTGTAAACACTACATTAACTCTCAGGAAGCTAGAGCGACATGATAGTATATACACTACATTAACTCTCAGGGGGATAGAGCGGTATGGTAGTGTAAACACTACATTAACTCTCAGGAAACTATAGCGGCATAATAGTATATACACTACATTAACTCTCACGGGGATAGATCGGCATGGTACGATAAACACTACATTAATTCTCAGGGAGCTAGAACAGCAAGGTAGTGTAAACACTACATTAACTCCGAGGGAAATAAGATAGCCTGGAAGTGAGGATTCCACCTGGAGCTGATAAAAGTAAAGAGACGAACTACAAGTAAATAATAGAAAACACCTAACACCCGTATTACCATTATCAAATCAGTATGACGTCATTGTACACTTCTTTTTATAAAAAAAAAACATCTTTAGACTAATTTGCTTCTTCAGACAATTAAATATGTTTATTTTAAGCTATGTAGTAGGTTCTTATTACAAAACATACATATTACAACACTCCCTACCAAGGTTAATGAGCGATAAACGGATTGTAACATTGAATTATTTAATGTACAAAAAAAGCTAAAATAAATTTCTTCAAAAAGAAGACGAATGTCTAACAATGCCATTAATGACCTCCAATATCAGCTTGACCACAACTTCAACATCAACCTGACCACAACTTGCGGTGTAAGTTTGTAATGACCTTCAATATCAACTTGACCACAACTTCAATATCAACCCGACCACAACTTGGGGTGTAAGTTTGTAATGACCTCCAATATCAACTTGACCACAACTTGGGGTGTAAGTTTGTAATGACCTCCACTATCAACCTGACCACAACTTGGGGTGTAAGTTTGTAATGACCTCCAATATCAAGTTGACTACACCTTGGGATGTCAGTTTGTAATAACCTCCAATATCAAGTTGACTACACCTTGGGATGTCAGTTTGTAATAACCTCCAATATCAAGTTGACTACACCTTGAGATGTCAAGTTGTAATGTCCTCCAATATCAAGTTGACTACACCTTGGGATGTCAGTTTGTAATGACCTCCAATATCAAGTTGACTACACCTTGGGATGTCAGTTTGTAATAACCTCCAATATCAAGTTGACTACACCTTGGGATGTCAATTTGTAATGTGCTCCAATATCAAGTTAACCACAACTTGGGATGTCAATTTGTAATGTCCTCCAATATCAAGTTAACCACAACTTGGGATGTCCGTTTGGAAGGATCTCTGATATTAACTTGACCACAACTAGGTAATATTAAATTAGTACGTGTATATTTATTTCGTCAGTTTTATGGCAATTCTTGAAACTGATCCTAGGACCATTTTTTCTTGATCCTAAATTCACCTGTTTCTGATCCTAGGACTATTTGCTCCTGATTCTAGGTCCATCTTTTCCTGATCTCAAATACTAGACATTTTCCTAATCAGTAACTAGTTTCATAAATTGGAAAGGTTCGATCTTGATCAAGAATTGAATTTAGCCAAACACGTTTGTTGTACATATTGTTTTAGCTCACGTGAATGTAACAACATAAATATAACAAAATAGAAATGTAAACTCAGTTTGAGATCCTCTAATTGTGAAAGTATGTTACCCCTGTAAATCACCTTTTTCTGTATACCTCTTATATTCAGTATGTGAAACTACTATGAATCTCAAACTCATACAACCTGTACATAAAACGTGTGTGTGCGGTGTGAACATCTTAAAGTAGCATTTCTAGTAGAAACGAGAATTTTTAAAATAACCAATCTATATTTATGTCCTACTGCAGATGAATGAAGCTTTTGATAGCTATATAAAACAAGTAAATATCATATACGGTAGTGTAGGTAAGTAAATATCATATACAGTAGAGTAGGTAAGTAAATATTATATACAGTAGAGTAGGTAAGTAAATATCATATACAGTAGAGTAGGTAAGTAAATATCATATACAGTAAAGTAGGTAAGTAAATATCATATACAGTAGAGTAAGTTTGAGACTTAATGTAGTGTTTTCACACTAGCTCTCTGAAAATTAATGCTGTATTTATACACTATTTCCCTGAGAGTTAATGTAGTGTTTACACATTAACTCCCTGAGACTTAATGTAGTGTTTTCACACTAGCTTTCTGAGAATTAATGCTGTATTTATACACTATTTCCCTGAGAGTTAATGTAGTGTTTACACTACCTTGCTGCTCTATCCCGCTGACAGTTAATGTAGTGTTTACACTACCATGCCGCTAAAGTTTCCTATCTTACTGTGTAATGTAGTTTTAAACACTTTCTGACGGAAGACTATAGTAATACTAGGGAAGTTATTAGAGAATAAATAGCCCATGTTCTTCATATCTTTAATGATCATTTTGTTTCTATTTCAGACAGAACAACTGATATTTTTATGGATTCTCCTCATCATGATCATTCTGGGGAATGGATGTGTTTTGGTGACTCTCCTGTTGTCTAGCAACAGAAAGTCCCGGATGAACTTCTTTATAATGCATCTTGCAGTTGCAGGTGAGAGAGAGAGAGAGCAATTAACTTAGAGTATCATTTTATTCATAATGTTATTAATATAGATTCCAATAACATAACATAGTATACAACTAATCCAAATAAACAATGTATAATAAACAGCGTAACATAATCTATATCTAATCCAAATAAACAGTGTATAATAAACAACGTAACATAATCTATATCTAATCCAAATAAACAGTGTATAATAAACAACATAACATAGTATATATCTACATCAAATAAACAATGTATAATAAACAGCGTAACATAATATATAACTAATCCAAATAAACAATGTATAATAAACAATGTAACATAATATATAACTAATCCAAATAAACAATGTATAATAAACAACGTAACATAGTATATATCTAATCCAAATAAACAATGTATAATAAACAGCGTAATATAATATATAGCTAATCCAAATAAACAGTGTATAATAAACAGCGTAACATAATATATATCTAATCCAAATAAACAATGTATAATAAACAACATAACATAATATATAACTAATCCAAATAAACAGTGTATAATAAACAACATAACATAATCAATATCT